TCCATATTTCAGCTAACCAAGCACATAAATTATTAGAACCTTTTTTAACTCCCCGAGCTGCAACATTAAATGCAGAATCCCTGCTTAATCTGCCCAAATCAATAAATTCAGCCTGATCCAATGCCTTAGATCTATATTCCTTCCACCATTATCCCACACCCTTAATATCCATTCCTATGCCTGTCCTCCAGATTTTTGCTTATATAAATTGGAAAGCTCAAGCAGTTCTTTTTGAGTGTAGCACACCTCCTCGTGGGTCACACTCTGAGCCTCACCCCTAGGGCCCTCCTGGGACTTTAGTCTAGTTATAGGTCTAGAAGCAAACAGTGGTGGTAGGGGGTGGGTCCTGAGAAGAATCAACATTATCTTGCCTGGCAACCGCCTCAGGGGAGACCATCACTGTTGCCTCAGGCAGTGCAGGATTTATCTCCTCAGACATAAGTGAAAAGGGTGATAGCAGTGTGAGTTGGGGAGGGCATGTTGCCACTACTGGGGATGAGAAAACAGTTTCTTCTGGCAAAAAAAAAGTTCATCAGAATTTACAATCTCAGTGTCCCCAGCTCCATCAGGGTCCTTTCACATGTCCCCATTCCAAATTTCAGGGTCCCATTCTTTTCCAGTCAATGCCCCCGCTTCAACAGTGGACACCTGGCAAGGCTGTGCATGCACCATTCATTTCAGGTCAGCCACTGGTATAAGAACTTGTGTCTGACTTCCCGCAATTTTAGCTCTTTCTCTACGGGAGATAAGACTCTCACTCAGGGAAATCTTAGCAGATTTGAGGCTCAGTATCTGCTTCTGAAGCCAGGAATTAGAATCCCTAAGTACATCATTTTCTTACCTCACTTTGTCCAGTGAACTTAGGAGCAACCAACCAACTTCATTATGTTCCTTGGTTCCCCACATATGGTCAAAAGTATTATATATAGAGTTACTAAACTTGCCTCTCATGAGTGGTGAATCAGGAGCATCAGATGAATTTATTTTACATAACTCTGTAAACAGTTCATGCCAAGGACTATCAGTATTCTCCATACTACTAGAAGTACAGTCCTTAGCATTTTTGGGTCTAATCATATTAAGCAGCCAACTCCAGAAACCCCAAAACCAATGAAAGAACTCCATCCTTAATATTCTGTTCCTCTAGAACCACTGCTGGGACCAAAATCTGTATTAGTCAGGGCTCTCTAGAGGGACAGAACTAATAGGATAGATGTATATATAAAGGGGAGTTTATTAAGGAACGTTAACTCACATGATCACAAGGTCCCACAATAGGCCATCTGCAAGCTGAGGAGCAAGCAAGCTAATCCAAGTCCCAAAGCTGAAGAACTTGGAGTTCAATGTTTAAGGGCAGGAAGCATTCAGCACAGGAGAAAGATGTAGGCTGGGAGGCTAAGTCAGTCCAATCTCTCCACGTTCTTCTGCCTGTTTTTATTCTGGCTGCGCTGGCAGCTGATTAGATTGTGCCCACCCAGATTGAGGGTGGATCTGCCCTTCCCAGTCCACTGACTCAAACGTTAATCTCCTTTGATAACACCCTCACAGATACACCCAGGAACAATACTTTGCATCCTGTAACCCAATCAAGTTGACAGTCAGTATTACCATCACACTAAGTATTTTGGGGTTTTTTTTTCCAGCTGTTGTAAAAGAGATTGAGTTCTTAATTTGATTCTAAGCTTGGTTATTGTTGATGTATAGCAGTGTTACTGATTTGTGTGCATTGATTTTGTATCCTGGAACTTTACTGAATTCATTTATCAGCTCTAGGAGCTTTTTGGATGAGTCTTTAGGGTTTTCAGAGGACATGATCATATTGTCAGTGAACAGCAACAGTTTAACTTCCTCTTTTCCAATTTGGATGCCCTTTATTTCTTCCTCTTGTCTGATTTCTCTGACTGGGACTTTCAGTGTCTATGTTGAATAGAAGTGGTGAAAATGGACATCCTTGACTTATTCCAGCTCTCAGGGGGAATGCTTTCAACTTTTCCCCATTCAGTATGACGTTGGCTGTGGGTTTGTCATAGATGGTTTTTATTACTTTGAGGCATGTCCCTTCTATGCCAATTTTCTTGAGGGCTTTTATCATAATAGGATTTTGAATTTTATCAAATGCTTTTTCAGCATCAATTGAAATGATATATGGTTTTTGGTCTTCATTCTATTGATATGATGTATCATATTAATTGATTTGTGTATGCCGAATCATCCTCATATCCCTGGGATAAATCCCACTTGGTCATAATAAGTGATCTTTTAACTGTATTGTTGAATTCAGTTTGCTAGTATTTTGTTGAGGACTTTTGCATCAATATGCCAGATATATTGGCTTGCAGTTTTATTTCATTTTGATGTGTCGTTGTTTGGCATCAGGATAATACTGGCCTCATAGAATTAGTCTGGAAGTTAACCCCTCCTCTACTTTTTGGAATAGTTTGAGTAGAGTGGTACTAGTTCTTTAAATGTTTGGTAGAATTTGGCAGTGAAGCCAGTGAGTCCCAGGCTTTACTTTGCTGGGAGATTTTTGTTACAATTTTGATCTAATTACTTGTTATTGGTCTGGTTAGGTTTTAATTTCTTCATAGTTCAACCTTGGTAAGTTGTATGTGTCTAAGAATTTATCCATTTCCTCTAGATTTTTAAATATATTGGCATATAGTGGCTCATCATAGCCACTAATGATCCTTTGAATTTCTGCAGAATCCATTGTAATGGCTCATTTTTCAGCTCTGATTTTATTTATTTGGGTCTTCTCTCTTTTTTTCTTCATTAGTCTGTTTAAAAGTTTGTCGATTTTATTTATCTCTTCAAAAGATTGACTTTGTTTTGTTGATCTCTTGTATTTTCATCATTTCAAATATATTTCTGCTTCGATCTTTATTATTTTCTCTACTAATTTTGGATTCAGTTTGCTCTTGCTTTTCTAGTTCTCTAGGATATACAGTTAGGTTATTTAATTGAGGTTTTCATTCTTTTCCAATGTAGGCAATTACAGCTATAAATTTCCCTCTAATAGTACTGCTTTCGCTGTATCCCATAGGTTTTGGTATGTTGTGTTTCCATTATCATTTGTTTGAATCAAATTTTCAATTTCCTTTTAAATTTCTTTATTGACTCACTGGTCATTCAGGAGCATATTGTTTAATTTCCATGTGTTTGTATAGTTTCCAAAATTCCTATTTTTTATTTCTAATTTTACTTCATTGTGATCAGAGAAGATTCTTGATATGATATCATTAAAAAAATGTTTTAGGACTTGTATTGTGGATAGCGTATGGTCTATCCTTGAGAATGATTCATGTGCTGAGGAGAAGAATGTGTATTCTGCAGCTGTTGGATGAAATGTTCCATAAATATCTATTAGGTCAATTTGTTCTATAGTGCAGATCAAGTCTGAAGTTTCTTTGCTGAGTTTTTGTCTATGAGTTCTGTCCAATATTGAAAGTGGGGTGTTGAAGTCTCCACCTATTATTGTATTGTGATCTCTCTATCTCTTTTAGCTCTAATACTATTTCCTTTTTGTATCTGGGTGCTCCAATGGTGGGTGCATATATATTTATAATCATTGTATTCTCTTGCTGAGTTGACCCCATTATCATTATACAAAGACCTTCTTTGTCTCTTCTTACAGTTTTTGTCTTGAGATCTATTTTATCTGTTATAAGTGTAGTTACTCCTGCTCCTGTTTTGTTTCCATTAGCAAGGAATATCTTTTCCCAACCCTTTATTTTCCAGTCTACGTGTATCTTCATAGGTGACGTATTTCTTGTGGGCAAAAGATCATTGGGTCATGTCTTTTCATCCATTCAGTCACTTTATGTCTTTTTATTGGAGGGTTTAGTCCATTTACATTCAGTATTTTCATTTAAGTAGGAACTTACTCCTGCCATTTTGTAACTTGTTTTCTCGTGGTTTCATGGTCATCTCTCCCTTCTTTTTTTCTTCTCATCTTCTTTTTCATGAAAATAATTTTCTCTGGTGGTAAGATTTAATTTCTTGCTTTTTATTTTTTGTGTATCCATTGTATTTTTTTTGATTTGAGGTTACATGAGGTTTATGACTTATCTTATGACCCATTATTTTAAATTGATGGCAACTTAACAGATAGCATAAACAAAAACAAACACACAAAAGGAAAACTAATAAAAGTTCTACACTTTAACTTTATCCTCCTGCTTTTTAACTATGTTGTGAAAAGTTGTCTTTTTTTTTTTTTCTTTGAGACAGAGTCTTGCTCTGCTACCAGGCTGGAGTGCAGTAGCCTGATCTTGGCTCACTGCAACCTCCACCTCCCAGGTTCAAGCGATTCTCCTGCCTTAGCCTACTGAGTAGCTGGGACTACAGGCACGTACCACCACACCCAGCTAATTTTTATATTTTTAGTAGAGACAGGGTTTCACCATGTTGGCCATGATGGTCTCTATCTCTTTACCTAGTGATCCACTCATCTTGGCCTCCCAAAGTGCTGGAATTATGGGTGTGAGCCACCATGCCTGGCCAGATTGTCATTATTTCTGACCAGTTCATCATTTTTTTTTTCTACCTAAGATAAGTTTACATACTACAATTACACTGTTATAATATTCTGTGTTTTTCTGTATCTTATTCTTACCTGTAAATGTCTGGGCATTGAAGAGCTAGGTATTTCTTGTAGTCTTTGCAGTCTGGGCTTGTTTGTCCCTGTCCTTGAGAAGGTTTTCCAGAAGGTTTTTATTTGAAGGAGCTTGGGCCTTAATCCCAATAATGCTGTGGTTTTTGCAGGCTCATAGAGGTACCATCTTGGAGGTGTTGAATAAGATCCAGAATGATTATCTGGATTGCCAGGCAAAAACACTTGTTCTTTTGCCTTCTGTCAAACAGTTTCTTTCTTTCTCTCTCTCTTAAGGTGCTGGGCCACCTTGAACTAGGGGTATGGTGATGCAAGCACTCCTGTGGCCCCCACCTTGGATTGTCCTGGGTCAGACCTGTAGCCAGCACAGCACTAGGTCTTGTCCAAGGCCCACTGTAACCACTACCTGACTACCACCTATGTTCACTCAAGGCCCTAGGGCTTTAAGATCAGCAGGGGGTGATGCCAGCCAAGTTTGCATCCTTCCATCCTTTAGGGTAGCAATTTCCCCCAGGCCCTGGACAGGCCCAGAGATGCTACCTGGGAGCCAGGATTGGAGTCAACATACTTAGAAATTTGCCTGATGTTTTATTTGACTATGGCTAAGCCAGCACTCAAAACAAGACAAAGTCCTTCCCATTCTTCCTTCCCCTTTCCACAGACAGAGATGCCTCTCCCTGTGGCCAATACTACCACTGGTCCACAGGGATTCTGCCTGGCCACTGCTGATGTTCACTTAAAGCTTAACAGCTGTTCAGTTATGTTGTGGTGCATGCTGCCAGGCCTGGGACTCTTCAAGGAAGTGGGCACCCCTCTGTCCTGGGGAAGATCCAAATATGCTGTCCAGGAGCCAAAGCCTGGACTTGGGGACCCCAAGAGCATGCTTGTTGCTCTACTCCACTGTGGCCAAACTGGTACCAAAGGTGCAAGACAAAATCCCCTTTACTTTTTCCTCTGTTTCTGTCAAATGGAAGGAGTCTTCCACTGTAGCCACCACAACTAGGAATGCGCTGGATCACACCTGAAGTCAACACATCTCAGAACCTAAGGCCCACAGCATACTACCTGGATATCACTGCTGGTTATTTGGTGCCCAAGGGCTCTTTAGTCAGCAGGTGATTAATCTTGCCAAGACTGGGTCCTTCCCGCCAAGGCAATGGGTTTTCTATTTGTCCAGTGTGTGTCTAGAAATATCATCCATGAGCTAAGGCCTGGAATGGGGGCCTCATGACTCTGCTCAATGCCCTGTCCTACTGTGGCTGAGCTGGTATCCAAGATGCAAGACAAAGTCTTTTTACTCTTTACTCTCCTCTCCTTAAGCAGAAGGAAGGAGTCACTTTTGTTGCTGCAAGCTTCACTGCCTGGGATTAGGGGAGAGGTGGCACAAGCACTCCCTTAGCTGCCCCAGCCGATGACTTCCTAGGTCGTATGCCACCCTATCCCTCTGGTTCTGAGCGCAGTCCAGCACTAGGAGTTACCTAGGAATTGCAATCCTTGTGTCCTAGATTGTCTTTCAAGTTTACCTAGAACCCCAGAACACTTAAGCCCATAGTGTTGAGGCTTCCTGAGAAACTCAAGTTCTCACTACTGGGATAAGTGATTTGCCTCTGGCTAGGTCTGTTCCAAAAGCTCCCTTCATGTGCAGCTGCTGGCTGAGTCCAGCATGGTGTTGCTCCCTGCTATGACAGCACTAAGTTTAATGTAAAGTTCCCCAGTTGCTGTGCTTTACCTCCTCCAAGTGCGCAGACTCTCCACATTGCTCAGCTGCTGCTGGGGGATATGCAAGGGGTGATGGTGGTGATTCCACAGTGTCTCTCCAACCCTCTTCAATGCGTCTTTTAGTGATATGTTGTTAAATCCAGGCATTACGATTGCTCACCTGATGTTTGGTTCTTGTAATGACACTTTTCTGTGTGCAGATAGTTGTTACAATTTGGTGTTCATGTGTTGTGGGGGAGATGGTGTAGGCTTCTATTCCACTATCTTGCTCTACCTTGATAGTCTGATGTCAGAAGCTCTTTTGTTTAATTAGGCCCCATTTGCCAATTTTTGTTTTTGCTGCAAGTGCTTTTGGAATCTTTGTCATGAAATCTTTGCCAGGGCCTATGCCCAGAATGATATTTTCTAGGTTTTATTCTATGGTTTTTATAGTTTTAGGTTTTACATTTAACTCTTTAATCCATCTCCAGCTGACTTTTGTTCATACTGAAAGGAAGGGGTCCAGTTTCGATCTTCTGCATATGGATAGCTAGTTATCCCAGCAATATTTATTGAGCAGGAAGTCCTTTCTCCATTGCTTGTTTTTATTGAAGATCAGATAATTCTAGGTGTGCAGCTTTATTTCTCGGTTCTCTAACCTGTCCCATTGCTCTGTGTGTCTGTTTTTGTATTAGTACCATGTTGTTTTGATTACTGTAGGCTTGTAGTATAGTTGAAGTTGGGTAGGGTGATGTCCTTTTTGTTCTTTTTGCTTAGGATTGCTTTGACTATTTGGGCTCTTTTTTTGATTCCATATGAATGTTAGGATAGTTTGTTTTTCTAATTCTATGAAAAATAATGTTGGTAGTTTGATAGGAACATCATTGAATCTGTGAATTGCTTTGGACAATATAGTTACCTTAACAATGCTGTTTCCTACCCATGAGCATGGAAGGTTTTTCCATTTGTTTGTATCATCTCTGATTTCTTTCAGCAGTGTTTTATAATTCTTTTTGTAGAGATCTTTCACATCCTTGATTTGCCATATTCCTAGATATTTTAGTTTTGTGTATGTCTTTTTTAAATGGGATTGTGTTCTTGATTTGGCCCTCAGCTTGGATGTTGTTGGTGTATAGAAATGTTGACTTTTGTACATTGATTTTGTATCCTGAAACTTTGCTGGAGGTTTTATCAGATCTAGGAGCTTTTTGGCAGAGAATATAGGGTTTTCTAGGTATAAAATTATATTGTCTGCTAAGACAGATAGGTTGACTTCCTCTCTTCCTATTTGGATGCCTTTTATTTCTTTCTCTTGCCTGATTTCTCTGGCTAGGACTTCCAGTAGTATATGGAATAGGAGTGATGAGAGTGGGCATCCTTGTCTTATTCCAAGTCTCAAGGGGAGTGCTTTGGATGGTATCAATCCTTTTAAACTTATTGATGATTGTTTTAGATAATGTTCCATGTGTAATTGAGAAGAATGTATATTATGCTGTTGTTGGTTGAATGTTCTATAGATGTTGCTATGATATGAATGTTCATGTTCCCCAAGTTCATATATTGAAACCTAATTCTCACTGTGATGGTATGAGGAGGTGAGACCTTTCAAACATAATGAAGTCATGAGAGCAGAACCCCGATGAATGGGATTGACATCCTTATAAAAGAGGCCCCAGAGAGGTGCCTTGCCTCTTTCACCATGTGAGGACACAGCAGGAATGTGACATCCATGAACCAGAAAGTGGCCCCTCCCCAGACACTAAATCTGCTGATACCTGAATCATGAACTTCCAAGCCTCTAGAACTGTGAAAAATAAATCTCTCTTGTTTATCAACTACACAGCATATGGTATTTTGGTATTTTGTTATAATATCCTGAACAGACGAAGACAGATATCCTTTAGGTTAGTTGGTTTTTAGTGTTGCTCACATCTTTCATTTCCTGGTGATCTTCTGCCTAGCTGTAATCCATTTTTGGAAGTGGGATATTAAAGTCTTCAATTATGACTATTGAATTGTCTATTTCTCCCTTCATTTCTGCCAGTTTTTGCTTCATGTGTTTTGGGACTCTATTACTAGGTGCAAATATGTTTTTAGTTGCTATATCTTCCTAATTGGCCCTTTTGTCATTATAAAATGTCCTTCTTGATTTCTAGTAAAATTTTTTGTCTTGTAGTCTGTTTTGTCTGATATTAGTGTAGTCGCTCCAGCAATCTTGTGGTTGCTGTTTGCACAATGTATGTTTTCCTATCTTTTACTTTCAATCTGTTTGTATCTTTGAATCTAAAAGTGTTTCCTGCAGACAATGCGTAGTTGGATCTTGTTTTCTTAAAAACTCTAGTCTGACAATTCCGCCTTTTGATTGGGTTCTTTAATCTAGTCACATGATGTTACTATTGATATATTTGGATTTATGTTTGTTATTTTACTTCTTTTTCTACATGTTTTAATTCTCTTTTTTCCTATACTTTTCATTTACAGATTGCTTTTTATTAAGTGAATATTTTAGAATGTAACATGGTAATTTTTAAACTAAATTTTAAACTGTATCTTTTGAGTTATTTTCATAGTAGTTTCTCCAGAGTTTACCATATATATTTTAGCTTATTGGTATCTGCTTCAGATTTATATTAACTTAATTCTAGTGAGATATAAATATGTTACTTCTAGATAGCTTTATTCCTCTTCTGCCTTTTGTATTATTGTTACACATATTACATCTTGTGGTGGATTGGACTGTGGGCCTCAAAAATACATGTCCAGATACTAACCTTTGAAACCTGTGACCTCATTTGGAAATGAGTCTTTGAAGACATAATTATATTAAAGATTTGGGGATGAAATTACCCTAAAATTTTCAGGTGGGTGCTAATTCCAATGAAAAGTTTGTTTTATTTTTTAAATAAGAGATAGAAGATGAGAAAACAGACACAGAGGAAAAGGCCATGTGAAGATGGAGGCAGAGATTGGAGTGATGTCAACAGCCACCAAAACGTGGAAAAGGCAAGAAACAGATTCTCTGTAGAGCCTCTAAAGGGAGTGCAACCCTGCCAACATCTTGAGTTTTGATTTCTCCTGCCCAAATCTAGGAGAGAAACTGTCTTAAGCAGCCCACTGTATAGTAATTTGTCACAGCAGCCACAGAAAACCAATGCACATTTATAGGTATTATATACCCAACAATACATCACTATAATAATTATTACTTTATGTAATCTTATATTTTTTAGAGGCACTAAGAGAAAAAAGGAGAAATTAAATATTAATAGCATTTCTTATTTGTTATTGCTAGTTCTATTCATTTATTCTTGTGGATTCATACTACCACCTGGTATCATTTTTTTATCAGATACAGCTGTTCTCCCATGCACCTCTTTTATACTGTAATTGACAAATGTGTTACATTTCTATATGTTTTTGGTCCAACAATCGTTTTACATATTGTTTTATGCAATTAGTTAGACTCAGTTTTCTATTTCACCTTCAAAGTGTGGCCCTTAGGCCAGGTGCGGTGACTCACGCCTGTAATCCCAGCACTTTGGGAGGCTGAGACGGACGGATCACAAGGTCAAGAGATCGAGACCATCCTGGCCAACATGGTGAAACCCTGTCTCTACTAAAAATGCAAAAATTAGCTGGGCGTGGTGATGTGCGCCTGTAGTCCCAGCTACTCAGGAGGCTGAGGCAGGAGAACTGCTTAAACCTGGGAGGTGGAAATTGCAGGGAGCCGAGATCACGCCACTGCACTCCAGCCTGGTGACAGAGTGAGACTGTGTTTCAAAAAAAAAAAAAAAAGTGTGGCCCTTAGAACTTAAAGTCATACTTTGGTTCATCAAATCAGTTCCAAGAGTAGGTGATCTAGCCCTTTCATTCTAAACACTACACGTGTAGTACTAGAGTACAATATTGTATTTGTTTATTTTTTCAGAATTAGGGTCTTGCTATGTTGTCTAGGCTGGGGTGCAGTGGGGCAATCATAGCTCACTCTAACCTTGAACTCCTGGGCTCAAGGGACTTTTCCTGCCTCAGTTTCCTAAGTGGCTAGGACAATAGATGCACACCACTACACCCAGCTAATGCATTTTTTTTGACAGACATAAAGCACAGTTTTTTCACAATAGATGGACAACTATAAAGCAAAAATATAATTTTGCTAAATGATATTAAGCCACAGATCAAAAAGTCCTAGACTTTTATACTTACTTGAAAAAACCTCAAATTTGCTGAACGTCATTGTATTAAGAGCTAATCTGTCTGGTCCAATCACATACTATATTTGCCTACATTCAAGTTTCATATTTCTACGTTTTGATAAACCTTCACACTAGATTTTCCTCTGTGCTGCAGATAAAAATTTTCCTCAACAGTGTCTGAAAAGGGAGGCCTGCCACCACTACCAAACCACTCTACCTGAGATTAGATTATTAGATAGTGCCTAACCTGAGATGAAAATATGCTGATACAACATTCTGTAAAAAAAGCTCTACTATGTTATAAGAGAGCTCATACTATATTATGGTTTCAAAGGTAATAAGAAACGTATCATCAGATCATCACTATGGTAGCTATTTAAGGGACTTTAATAAAAATTTGACAGTTATCATGAAACACTGGCCACCTCAATTTTAAACAGTAAGCACAAGAATTACTCCCATAAAAATTATAAGCATAACAGGACACTTTTTGGCTACTATTCAATACTGACTTGGATGTTCTAGATAACACAAGATACGATATATATGTGAATATCTATACATATATATTTATAGATATCAGTGTATATATACAGTATATATGTGATTTTAGAAAGGAGGATAAATATATGTTACATGATAAAACTTACAGTCAATATAATTTTACACTTGTAAAATCCCAGAGAACAAATATAGACCTAAAAAAGAGTTAAATAAAATGATTAGTTTAAAAAATAAGTATAAAGATTGTAACTTTCCCACATACCTTCAAAGTGTAGAAATCCCACTAAGCAAAAAGTGGTATTTCTACCAAATATAGATAAAAGAAAATGCATATTTAAATGTCTCTTATCCTCCATGAAACTCATCAAAAACAACAAAAAGTACAGCAGACAAAAAAATAAAGTCACATCTTTGATGAAACTCTGTAAAACATTTGAACCTCAACCATGATGTACATGAAGATAAGCTACTAAGTGCCATGAAGATTGGACCAAGATATGAAAATGCTAGGAGAGGATGCCTTTCACTGGAGATCTTGGAAAGGGCTGGTAGATTGGTGTTTTCTAGAGTAGTGATTCTCACTGAGATGCAAAACCAATGACTCCTAGTTTTGGAACAAAAAGATCTAGGTACAGAGGCTAAAGGCAGGACTCTCTCATAATCCTATTTGTCAACACAAAATAGGAGAGAAGGCAGGACAAAATCTGATAGTGAGCAGATGCACCATTATTTCAAGATTGAACCTAAGGATGTGGCAAGGTAAGGGGAAAAGTCGGGATGACAAGTTGCCCTGCAGCCGCCAGTTTTCATCAGTTGAAGATATATTAAAACTATGGCACACATAAGCCATTCCATCCAACAGTAAATATGGCTATACTGCAAGCAGTAAAAAAGTGAACAGCCTCTGCTTCCATACAGTCAAGAACAAAAAGAAACACGTGACAAGGATGAGGAAAAAAAGTGGAAAAGAATAAAGAATTTAAAAGAATTGGAGGGAAAGCTATAGCTTTGGAATACAGAAAAAGGAGGTACAACATGCTACTAATAGATGTCTTCAAAGAGACCAAATACATGGATAAGGGGGAAAAAATCCAAAGACATCATTCAAGAAAAAATTTTGAGATACAAATAAACTTCAGACTTTTACTTCCAGTAGTGGAAGTCTAGTTTGTCTTTAGCCAATGGCATATCAAGGATAACAGGTGGGCCATAAGAACGGTTGTTGGACTGCAGTTTTGGACTCTATTACTACATGTGTAGTATTTAGGATAAAAGAGCTAGGTCTTCTCATGTCAGCACTTATTTGACCAATGGGAGTATGATTTTAAGTTTGTAGGGTCACATTTTGAAGGTGAAATACAAAAAAAAAATTTATAGAAAGATAAATTTTTGATCAGATGCAGTATCTCACATCTACTGCAGCAATTTGGGAGGCTAAGGTGAAAGGATCATTTGAGCCCAGGAGTTTGAAACCAGCTGGGCAACATAGTGAGACCTTATCTCTACAAAAAGTAAAAAAAAAATTAGCTGGGCATGGGGGTGCTTGGCCTAGGTGTTCAAGATCAGCCGGGGCAACATAGTGGGACTCTGTCTTTACAAAATATTTTTAAAAACTAGTTGGATGTGGCAGTGTGTGCCTGTAATCCTGGCTACTTGGGAAGCTGTGGTGGGAGGATCACCTGAGCCCAGAGAAGCAGGGGCTGCAGTGAGCCATCTTCACACCACTGCACTCCAGCCTGGACGATGAAGTGAGATTCTGCCTCAAAAAAAGGACAAAATGAAATATCAGCAATGAAAAGTCCTGCTAAAGAGAAGTTTTGTTAATTCATAATTTTAATGTTTATCTGGTCATTTTATCCAAAAGGCAAAAATCTTTAGCCTCCCTTATCTTTGGGATATCCTTCTCTCTTAAATGTTGCTTTCTCACAAATCCCAGTTTACTTGAATAAGAATGTAATGTTATGCCAAAAGTTAAGGAGGCATGTGGTGGGACAAATCCTACTGGGTGGATGCTTTCTTCATTCTTTCCACAAATGAAATCTTCTGAAAATAGACATCAGTGGCAGTTTAAATAGAGAAATGGAAAAAGGGAAGCCAAAAATCTGAGAAGCGTGTGAAGGAGGAGTTTCTGTGAAGATTTCCCATGCTGTTCTCTGTATGCATTTTTCCTTTTTCCTCATGCCCTAATGTATATCCACACATACTATCCCTCTAGATGCTGCTCAGAATTTCTAAACCTGGTATAATTGGAGGCTTGGCTGCAGACCTAAAAGTAAAGGGCCTAAAAGTTGGGTACATCTTTACAGTTGTATTTCATTTGTTTAAGGCAGAAAGAATAAACTTTCATTCCAAAGCAGTTAGCTTGCTTAGCAGCATTAATTTAAAATGAAGAAATGTAAATCCTAATCTCTGGCACTGAAGCAGAAAATTAGTTTTGGTTTTGAAATTTGGTGAAGAATAAGTTCAATTTTTATGGGCTGTTTTGCATCTTGGTGAGATCTAATGAGGTCTGTACTTTTGACTCTACCTAATAGGCTGACATCTTTCCTCCTTTAATTTTATCTGAGACTTGGTGTCAATGATTTTTTTGATTTCTTAATTCAAAAAGGTAAACTAGCCAGGGAGTATTTACTACTTACATTGCCTTATATCACAGTGTGCCCTTTCTAGTTCCCTGGAAGAGATAAGGAATGGGTTTGTGTGTTCAGGGAGGTAACTGGTTTTTAGTGGAACACTGGAGTTATCAATCCCACTCTTAATGTTAAAAAGAGAATACCAGAGCTACCCCTCTCCCCACCATTTTAATCAGCAATTTTTAAATTTTTTTCTTTTTTTTTTTTGAGACGGAGTCTTGCTCTGTCACCAAGGCTGGAGTGCAGTGGCCAGATCTCAGCTCACTGCAAGCTCCTTCTCTCGGGTTCACGCCATTCTCCTGCCTCAGCCTCCCGAGTAGCTGGGACTACAGGCACCCGCCACTTCGCCCGGCTAGTTTTTTTTTGTATTTT